CAGTCGCAGTTGTTGGGGTGATCGGTGCAGAAGCGATCTGCATCGGCTCGATGAGCTCTCCGACTCCGTCAGCGTTGATGATCTACGAGATCGATCCGACCATGAAGATCTGGCCGGGTTGCGGGAGGGATGAAGAGCCTGCGGAATGTACCATCTTGTTTGATATAGAAACAGCACGCACACCCCAACCTAGCGTGCCAACTGTCGATAGAATATCGTCAGCAGTCCTCCAAGGGGTATCCCATGAAGGTAGATTGATCGGCAGAGAGGCGTGTAATCAAGAACAAGAAGGCAACAGAGACATACGAGTTAGACAGGTTCAGGCCGTCAGTATGACGTAATACCCTACTCATTTGGTCTGTTGGATTGTATTGCTATCGTATGATATTACGTGGGTTTGGAAGGGGTCCCTGCCTGCCTTATATAGTCCGAAGGTAGGGTTACAAGTTGGTTAGATCTAGGAGAAAACCGGAAAGTAATAACAGATTACAGGAATCATGGGATCATATGTATCCTAATAGATCTTGTAGTATCTTCAGGATATCTTCCTGGTGTCTTGCGGGAGGCGCCGAGCAATGTCGTGCCCCGTAAGGCTTCGTCTTGTGGGCTAGGCCACCCCTGGGGGCGCAGCTCATGTGGTCTGCCATGAGTATCCGGGGTTGTACCCCCCCCCCACAATGATCCACATAACTACTATCCATCGGAGTTCCTTAATAGTCTGACCCCCAGCGGGCTCCCTCCACACGTCTTGAAGCTCAAGCTCGGGTGTCCTGTCATATTGCTTAGGAATATTGACCCTGCCAATGGGCTATGCAACGGTACAAGGCTGGTGGTGCGGGGGTTCTGAAGAAATACAATCGATGCAGAAATCGTGGTGGGGCAGCATGCTGGGAAGCGGGTATTCCTTCCTTGAATACCGCTATGCCCGTTCGATGACGAGATGTTTCCGTTCCAGTTTAAGAGGAAGCAGTTTCCTATCAGGCTAAGCTTTGTCATGACGGTCAACAAGTCACAGGGCCAAACTATCCCGGACATGGGTGTGTACCTACCCGCACCGGTGTTCTCTCACGGTCAGTTGTACGTTGCGATGTCTAGAGCCACGTTAAGAACGAATATTAAGATCCTTGTCCTCCCGCCTTATGCGGATGCATAGGAGGAGGAGGCCAAAAAGATGGAGAAGAAAAATGTTAAAAAGAATGCCGAGGAAAAAAAATAAGAATGCGTCAAATAAAAAGGATAAGGATAAGAAGACCCCAATAATGAATGGAACTTTCACGAAGAATATTTGTATTTAAGGAGGTTCTAACGCCATAGGCAAGGTAACAGAACATTACTAACACATACAATGCATTTTTTATTCAATTAAATATTGCACAAATAGTATCTCATTAACGCGATGTCAGTGCCATGGACGCGGTGATCGCTCGAACACCGGCATTCACCGATAGCATGCCAGCGAGCGTCATAACGGACATACACAAGATCGGGAGGAACAACAAGGTATGGACAGACCCTGACGAATTCTGTCTGGAGCGGTTCCTCGCGGGTAGCGCGGCGGACGCTATGCGCTCTCCCATACGAAATAGTCATCGAGATCGCCGGGCTTGTCGCCGCGACCTCGCCACACACGATGGAGGACCTCTGTAGCCTCCGTGTCACGTACGTGTCCACAGTCCACCCACGCATGAGTTGCATTACTTACACATTTAATTTGTCTACCTGTACCGTGCGTGTGTCTTTGCAGTTGCCAGACCATGCGCACGGCGTGCATGGAGCACATCGTGAGGAGCCACGTAGCGCTAGAGCGGGAGGAATCCATGAGGTGGTAAGACCCCAAATGCTACCTCGCCCTCATCGACAAACTGGCTACCGGCGGCAACCCGGAGGCCTGCTTCATGCTCGGTCTCAGGCTCGTCTTCACGCAGGGCCGCACGGACCCCGTCGGCACTGCCTGCCTCAGACAGGCGATCGCCGCTGACCACAAGGTGGCGGCCTACATGCTCGGTGTCCTCCTCTACGGGGACAACGAGGCCGAGCAGTATATCAGGAAGGTGGAGGGCGAGTACGTCGCCCACGGGTGCAAGCCGGAGGCTAGCAGGACCAACTGGGAGTGCGTGAGGTGCCGCGAGCAAGCTGTCGACGCGGTTCGGGAGGTGTTATGGAGGGTGGACGGAATGATGGACCCGGTGCTTGTGCCGCCGCCGGAGGTAGGTTGCAAGGGCAGCGACTACGGCGTGGCGAAAGGATGGACCGGCGGCTGCGCTGTCTTTTGTAGCGACGGCTGCAGGATTAGGCACGAGTACTCCGAGTTCTATATATCGCTGATCGTGAATCTTGACACAGACACTTAAGTGGATATCTTATTCTACAGTATATGTCTACGTGGAATAGATCAAAAGCCACACATATTTATACGGTGAGTATAACACTTTGTTTTAAGTTTTTGTGGAAGATTTTTCAAGAGACGCAGTATTACCCATGCGACAGGCACTAATATTGACATATATACTCGAGCCTGTGTACACGATAGTATAGAGATGCGGCGAAATTTATTCGTGGATTTATTGGCGCACGAAAGAAATGGATATCGGAGATTTCTTCCTGCCGATATAAAACATTATCTTAGGCGCATCACGGAAAAGTCTATAAAGTAGAGTTTGTAAGCCTGTGACGCCGCGCTCTCTGTGACTGTTAATTTCACAAACTTTGCTTTTTGGATTAACAGTAACTTTAACGTTGATATTTAATTTTTACAGTATTGCTATCTTATTGTGCGATCCGTGTGTTTTTAATAAAAATTGTTAGCTATCCCGTAGCAACACACGAACACGCTACCTAGTAAGAAGATAAAAAGGGCAAATAAAATGCATGTCACCCTCAATCGAGGATCTATGAATATTAAACATACAGGCAACCCAAACTAGACGGCTGCGCCCAACACCCTGTACCATTTTGCTTCACAAAAAGGAAGACGACACTTGACAGACGAGCATCACTGTCGTTATCATGCACCACACGGAGGGCTACTTGGGAGCGTGCCGCAGACGGCCGCGCTGCGAAGCATCTCAGCTAATCACTGCTCATCTGGGCCTACCAATCAGACTCATCAGCCAAAGGGAAAAGAATATACTACTGGCTACAGCATCTTGGATGGAAGCGAGAGAATCTCCTCTGCCGGTCTTGGAATATCTCCTCCGTGCGAACGTGCCACATCCATTCCCTCGCGTCCACCTACGCCCGCCTTTTGAATTTTGAACTCCAACTAGTCGGCGGCGGCGGCGTGATAATTTTGGACCACCAGCCATTCATCGATTTTAGTAATTTAATTAGCTTTATCAAATTCATTTTAGTAATTTAACTAGCTGATGGATGCCGTTCAAGGACGATGTTTGTTTGGTCCGATTCTCTTCGGTTGTACCTGCTGTAATAAATAAATTTGATGTCCTTGTCTCAAATGTTCCAACTTGCAAATGGATGGATTTCCATCCATATATATCCACTTCCATACCTCTTGGCTCTGGCCCACTCAAACTTGGGTCCATGTCCAAAAAAAAAAAAACTCTAAAACATTATCCATTGAGCATGAGCGATGCATTATTACGTGATTTGCTGGTAATAAACATATATAATGACAAAGTTAGAGCAAAGAGGTGTGTTTGCTTTGTGGGTGTATAGATACGTATCCTAGGGTGCATGTATGGGCATATGGCAGAATTTTAATCAAACTCATTGTATTTTTTGTGTGCCCTCTAAACGCAACATGCCTCCCCCCTAAACACATAATTAAGCAAGTGCATCCTAGATGAGGGGAGTGCACCATCATGTTAATTTTAAAATTATACTTCCTCCATGCTCTTGAAATATATAAAACTTGGTTTGACTCGGCAAGGTCTTCAAAACCGGACAAGCTTGTAGTTTCTATTATATTGCCAAAAAAAAACCGAAGCCACAAAATGTACTGTGTAGAACTTTTTGAATTTTCTTAGAGCAAGGTCAATAAAAGAGTCAAGTGTTTGGGTATAAGTCAATATATAAGAGCCAAGTTACACAATAGTTAGGGCCTGTTTGGTTAGCCCCTCAAGTTTAGTCAGCTAAATCTAGTTCCAATTAGTCATTTTTCACCCAAACATTATGACTAAATGGGAATAAATGGGCTTTAGCCAACTAGTCACCAAAATGTTGCTAAAAGTGACTAAACCTCACCTTTTAGTCTCTTTGGAGCCAAACACCTTGACTAAAAGAGACTCAAACCAAACACCCAGTGACTAAAGTTTAGTCTTTGGTTTAGGTGACTAAAGTTTAGGAGGGAAACCTAAACAGGGCCTTAGTCTTCTATTTGTCTATAAAATTTCTTTATTATTATATGTTTTCATTCCCTTTCATATTCCTCCTCGCATACAACTCTATTGAGACCTACTGTTGTCTATGCTTCGTGCCCAACTAGTTGCTTACATGAGAGCCAAGCTCACTTCTCTCCTTCCTTCTCTCTTTCACATGAGCAAAAAATATTAATTAGCTTGGCTATAAGCCAATTATCGTACATGCTTTTAATGAGCTTTCCAGTTTCACAATAATTCATTCATGTTGGGTACCTTGGGCGACAAAATGCATAGTCGAATCAAAGACAACCACCGTGCCGTGCGTTGATTAATCGGAAGAAGATAGCGACTCGCCAGTGACCAACTGCTATAGCGTACAGATCGAGTCTTACAATGTGACAAGTACAACTTCTTCTATGATTGGTCAATTACATCAACCTCATCAGCTAATTAATTAGGCATTCTTGAGGGAAGACATTTTTATACGCCCCGTCAAATTATGCCCAAATTAAATAAAAACCATTTACAATAATAAGAATATATATAAAGCACACACATGGATCCAATAGCAACTTCCAAAGCCATTGGAATTTCCAAAAGGACAAGTAAGCAAAGCACTAAGACTAGCCGCCAGCTCGGAATCGCCGTCGGAGCCACTCCACCCACCTGCTCTGCTCCTCCATGGCCAGCAGCACAAGCAGCTACCCTCTCGTGCTGCTCCTGCTGCTGGCGGCCACGGCCGCAGCCGCAGCCGCAGCAGCAGCCGCCACCGAGGCGTCCATCGGCGGCGGCAACACGACCGCGACGTCGTCGTCGTCGCCGACGGCGTACGAGATGCTGGAGCGGTACGACTTCCCGCGGGGGATCCTACCGGCGGGGGTGTCCGGGTACGAGCTCCGCGGGGACGGCAGCTTCGAGGTGTACTTCCCGCGGCCCTGCGAGTTCCTGCTGGCGGGGACGTGGCTGGTCCGGTACGAGGCGCGCGTGCGGGGCTCCGTCGCGGCCGGGTCGCTCACGGCGCTTGAGGGGATCAGCGTGAAGGTGCTCTTCCTGTGGCTCGGCGTCGGCGAGGTGGACCGCGCCGGGGACACGCTCAGCTTCTACATCGGCCCCGTCGCCACCTCGTTCCCGCTCGATGACTTTGCCGAGAGCCCGCGCTGCCGCGGCTATGACTATGATGGCGCCGGCGCCGACGACGCCTTCTTCCTCCCGGCGGCGGCGGCATCGTCGTGACCCGCGCGTCGTGCTGCCTGCGTGATGGTGATGGGCTAGCTCGCGCCGCGGCGCCGGCGATGGTTAGTGTTTATACAATTGTATGTATGTACCTGCGGCCTTGATGATTTAGCTGGCTATTTACACGTGTGCATCGATTGAGACGAGCCGGCGATTAGCTATTTCTTCTTCATTTTTGTTTCAGGGATCGGAATTGGGTCGAGTTGGTGATCTCCTTGTCCTTGATGCAGCTTCATCATGTGTCGTGTCTTACAATTCTTTAAGCGTGCCTTCTCCTGGTTTATGATCGTGCGATCAATTAGCTAGCTTTGCCGCGTCGCATGATGTGCCATGGCGGCATGGTGGCGAGAGGTAGCCTACGTCAACGCCGGCCTCTCACCGGTGCAACTCTTGGCAGAACAGTCTCCGAAAGACAGTTTCAATGTTCACGTCATCTTCAGCCCGCCGCCTGGACAAAACCACGGTCAACGCTCAATACCGGCCATGAAATCGTAAGATTCAACGCAGAGCAGCTCAGCTTATGTGAAAGGAGAATGCTCGCTATAGAACCAGAGAGAGATTTGTTTTCTGTCATGGATAAGCTCCGGTTATAATGAACAGAAGAAAAAAAAAGTCATTATGGTCGTAGGTTCGCTTGCTGCAGCCTGCGGAAGGATCTTTGGCTCAGCACGGGTCGCCATCTAAAACCAGATCGTGTGTCATCCCCACTCTCACTACCTAACAAACTTGGTCCAATACGAGATGAACTATGAATCCATCGACCTGTCTTTTATTCTTTCTTTCTTTTTTGCCACCAATATCATCCCACTGAGTCATCGACATAGCATCTTCGTTCGAAAAGAAACGAAAGCACTGTCTATACGGAATTGAGCGTATAGAGTTTATTGATATTTTGTCTATAAAACCAACCTGCTTTGTGAGCTGTGACTCTTACAAAGATGCTATTCAAGCTGTGTTGGAGGGGAATGTAGATACTGCTATCATTATAACACAGGCAAGTTTGATGAGAAAGACTGACAACCTGATGTGGTTTAAACAGAAAACGGTAAATCAATTGTGGAAAAATCATCCAGATACCACGCACCAGGCGAGGAAGACTGACAATAATAAAACAGATTGAAGCGTTGTTTAGGTTACACAGCAAATATGACTAGATCAAAACATGCATGTATTATTCGTTTCCATACAAATGAGCCTACAAAGTACAAGCTGATCTAAACATGCACCAACAATTAACACGTGTTATCTGACTGGCCGACTGCTCTAGCCACTCTTTCAAGGGTATGCACTGTCATTACAAAGGGTGCCACAGACTCTGCAAGTGAGAGAGGGTGCACGTAACATACCGACCGATCTTGAACACCCAGTTGTGGCCAGAGAACTACCCAGAACAGGCAAACTTCAAACTTTCGATGTCGATACAATCAGTCTATCTGACAATTGGAATTTTAAACAATCAGGACATTTCTATCACATCATACTACCACAGCCCATAAAGTTCCAAAATTGGTTCCATGGAAAATTTCAATACAGCACATGATCGCATCCAATGCCCTTGAGGCATTTGACTGAACCATGACAATGAAGATGTACATACATAATTAGGAAAAAGATGCAGTATGGTACAGAGAAGGTAAGTAAAAACATACAAATTCTTTCACTCCAACGATTTGAGTAGCCGGAATAGACCAGCTGCTTCCCTTATCCGTGAAAATTCAATACAGAACGCTTGTACCTCAATGAAAAGATCTTGAACTGCACCCAAATAAAAATGCACAAAATTATCTGCCTTGTCCACTCGGAAAAGGGTGGGAAAACCCAAACTTGTGGACTAGCATTTCAACAATTTACAAGCCTACAAAAAAAACAAGGAAACTTGAAACGAATACAATTAACTTCATGAGATTCAAATTGCACCAGGGCAGCTATCAATGGTATTGCACACAAGACACTGATTGTTTTATGAATAACAATGTCTACATGTAACTATATTAGCTGGAAACTACAAGATCAGTTAGAAATAAATAAATACATAATGTGTTCATGGTTATTGTCAAACAGCACCTCCAGACCTGAGAGACTATATTGTCTCAGTTTTCAGACCATAGAAATAGACATTGCAATATATCCAAGCAAAAAGGGAGCAACAAGAACCAAACGAGAAAATGGCTAAAGTGTTACACATGTATATGCATAGGATATCAAATCAAAGTAGAGATCAGAATGTTTTAACCACATATGACAACAAGTAGCTTAAGAGCATTTGAATTTTACCTTAAAAATGCATCAGGGAATGAAATGCAAGATAAGTAATAAGCAACTAGCCTACAGAAGTGAGCAAACCATACAATTGAGATGGCAGAAATCAAGAATATGAAAGGTGCACAGGGTTTAAAGTACTAAAGTCAAGGTGTACAATTGGATATTACACTCGAGGCAGAAAGCAGGAATATGAAACTCTAATCTTTGAGAGCTGATTATTTTTTATTGAGATAGCAGAAGTTACGACATTTCAGCAACGGTATGCAAAGCAGACCTTTGTTAAGCATGAGCAACTCACCGTTTATAATCTTGTTTCGGATAAGACTCTGCAGGAAAACACAAACTAGTCTCACAAGTCTGTTTTGCATGTATTTATCCTGCACAAAAAATAAGTATCATTCAGATAAACATATATCAGTATACCGCACATTAACACGAGAAGTCCCAAATTAACCGATAAGCAAAACACAAAGTGCAGAAATTAAAGGAGTAAAGCACAACGTTCTATAAACCATAGGGCATTTCTTTTGGAATAATGCAAAACACGTAACAGCACCATAATCACCCACATCACTAGTGATCCCCAAGCCTAATGATAAAAGCACTTATCCCCAGATTCACCATGGGCCTTGTAATTTAAGCACATGCATTAGTGGTCTCACATTCCCATAGGGAATGCAGTCAAGATTAAGTTGCCCCTGCTAGAACATATCTGCTAATTACAAGATATTAAAACCCAAATTATTTAAGCATTAACTTCAACTAAGATGTGATAATACACAAAAATGGTGAAGAATACTTCTTGATCAACTTCAATCGAAATGAACTGAGCTAGTGCTCGGGTGGCTAGCGTTGCCGGTGTGCACGCTGCCGGCGCGAGTTCAATTCCCAGGAATCGCACTCGCATCTCTCGCCGGGACTTGTTCCCAATAATGTCTGCAGCCTCTCTCGCGTGGAGACAAAAAGGGACTGCAACACACCCGTTGCCTATGGAACCATGGCTAGTCCCGGTGATCTCTGGAAGTACGCGGTCTACTGATCTCTGTGTAGTTGTAGGTCTAGTTGTGCACGTGTGGTGTGAGTGTGGTGTGTGTGGGTAGCGTGGGCGTACGTTCGTGCATAAACAGATGCTACAGCTGTACCCAGATGAGAGGCTTAAAAAAACTTCAATCAAAATGAATAAAACAAAGAACAAACCTTTATGTTTTGACATGATTGGATACAATTTGTGATGTACTCATGGACAAACTCTGTTGGAAGGTCAACAGCAGTAGTAAGTCTGTTCACAACTTCCATAGAATGCAAGCTCATTTCCATGTGCACAAGAACATCAAAGTAACTACAAAAAAAGGATCATCGGTCAAATAAAGGGCAGGAAGAAGGCTGCCTATATGATAATAGAACATACAACAAAGAAAAGAGACACACCCAGGAATGTCAGGAGAGTGAATTAGCTTCGAAAGAACCTCAACAGCAATGAGCGGGTTGTGTTCAACAAGATCCTGAAACCATGCATAGATTCAGAACTCCAAGATCAAATGGCGTTAAATATGTGAGACTCAGTTCATAGAGTACACGTACAGGAAGCTTCTGTGGGGTCATCCCACAGTAATAAACCAGTTTAGGATCTTTTGTCAGTTCTACTATGACTTGCTGCAAGAAACTGTGAACAAATTAGGCATGTACCATTGGAACCTCTTATGTACCAAAGAATGTCTGAGAAAAAAAGGGTGATAAAACCTAGGTGCCATAAATTTATCCAGCAATGAGGCTATAAAGTTATCATAAGGAAACAAGAGGAAAAGAAATCCTAGTCATAGAACAAGCAATTTGATAAAAACAGCCATCATTATCTTGACGAAATATTAGAATGTAGCAGTGAACCTCCTGTTGGGTAGGTGCAAGTGGACCTTTTAAGGCTCTTGCAATCAAATCTCGGATAGCAGCCCCTCGACTCGTGTCAGCACACATGCTATAATCCCATAATAGCTCATGGTTATTGTCAGGGTTCAACCATTGTAGCTGTATGTTCATCACAATAGAAGTTATATTTAGAAACGGACTGGTATTAAAATGCAACTTCTGACTGAGTAATTTTACCTCCCCATCAAGTACAGGAAGTCTTGGGGGTGTGGGCCGAATCCATTGCGGACCCAACCTTCCCCCCGATTTGTCTTGGAGTAAAACAGCAATAGTAGCATCTCTATCATCAGAAGCAGATTTCTGCTTGCTTCCAGGTGGTGATATCGAAGACCTTATAAGGTTACGAAAGCAATAAATAAAGAAGAAATTGGACAAATGAAATTCAAGGACCTCACAAGAAATATCAATTTAGATAAGGGGGTGTACATGAGCCTACATACTCTGGTGAATTTGCACAACTTTGAGGCACGTCTGGATCTGGTATAGCACTTCTAACCATAGCAGCTCTGAAACTACTAATCTGAGGCTGGGAGTGTACACTAGTACTGCAATATTGCTTCTCAAGTTGTTCCCGAGGCAAAAAATCCTATACAAATAGACGAACATATGAATAATCATACTCGACCAAAACATAAAAAGTTGTTTACCTAATCAAAAGCCCACCTGAGATGCTGAAACAGATCCATTAATGTAATCTACCGCAGACTGATTCAGGACCTGAAAACAAAAAAAATCACCACAGAAATTAACTAAATACATATACTTTGCAGGTTCCTTTCTCAGAATCAAGAAATGAAAAAACAATGTCCAAGCTGTTGATTGCATATTATATAAAATTTCATGGTAGCGATGTCTAATGACCCTTAATCAATAGATGCATGTCAGCATAGGAAAGGAGAACATAATCCCTATGATATTGTCATTCTATGCCACACTAAATGTTGACTCGTATTTAAAAGTCAAAGAAAGAGAAAAGACCTCGTTATTATTGTTTCCACTAGATGAAGTCAATAATAATTGGACAAATGCCCGTTCTGATTTCTCTGACGTTTCATCACAGGCTGCCTGTAGATATCAACACATGAAACTAAGGCATCAAGCATGAAAAATATTTAGTCCATCCAAAAGACGTTGCAACAATTACATCTCAAGAACCATAGAAAAGTAGCAAAACATGTTGAATGTTCGATTTTTCAGCATGATGCTAAATGATTAAAGAAAGTAATCAGCTATGTTTCTGCGCCACTAAAACCACAATCGAAAGAGACAAGGACTCAGATGCTATAAATAAGTAGTAATCAAAGATATAAACAGTAGCTCTCTAGCACAGAGCAGTAAATGAGGAATACATGATTGATTTGAACAGAAATGCATTCAAAATGTGAACTGACCTTAATTAATCTTTAAAAAAATAATGGTGCTAAGAAATTGTTGTTACAATTCAAGAAATATAATAGAGACAACACTGACAGATCCAATTGATTCAAAAATGGTTAGATATTAAGAAAACGGTTATTTACACTATTCATAAAGCTATAGAAACCTAATATACAAGGCTCCAAGGTTCAGCTATTTGATTCAGCTAAAGCACAAATCAAATAAGACCCTAAGTTTACAATAACAAAAACAGATTCCAGTAATAGAGCTTGGAGGTCAACATAAAATAAGAAACCCATTGTGTGGACCCTAGATTGTCAAGTGGGTAGCACAGAATGCAAAGATCCAGCTTATATATGCTAGAATATAAAGGCAAGTCTTGGCCAAATGGGAGCTGAAGGTTTTGTAGAAGAAAGACAATGTACAATAAAAGGCAGAATTTTTCTAGAGACCAATTCACCATCAGAATAATGTAGATGACTAAACTTTTGATCCACATAAGTATCTCCTGAATGTGTGTTTGGTACCAGTGCCATAGTCTAGATGTGGGAGTTGGGGAAATGTAAAATATAGTCCAGTCGAGTCAAGCATGAAACATATGGAAGAATATTGCAATTTTGCACAATGATTTGTTTAAGTATGCTGAATAGAAAAATGTGAATTCTTCTATCATAAACCAAATCACAGAATTGAAACAACAAGGTTTACCACTTACATTTAACAATATAGGAATATATGGATTTGTCGTCTGCGGTGAATAGCTCTGATGAAGAATTGCAAATGCAATTAAACGGCCAGTAGGATGAAGCATCTTCTTGTCCTAATCGAAGGGCAACATAATATATCAGATTTGTAGCACTATTCCGGTGAAAGCAAATATGAATCTAGAATCTCGTAGTGAACATAACAGACCCAACTTACAAAATGAACTAAAGGTAGGTGAATAGTATCCCTAAAAATTTGTTGTGAGGTGCAAATATGAAGTTATTAAGGAGAATGCATGTGAAAACACCAACTACTATTGTCACAGCATAATTTGGTTCAGAAGTCACTAGTGCTGTGCATTGTCTCCTACAGGACAGCGTACCAGGCAGGGGGGAGTGTCAGTACACGAAAGGTTCTGCAGCACTAAACAGCCCAAAACTTTCAGCGCTGTTGTAACCCACTAAATCAGCTATAGCATGCCACCAATTAGTGGAACATCAATACAACTCTAACTGCAGTATTCTTCATTTCACCCCTAAATATTTTTTGTTGCAGTATGGTTAATGGAGAAATTTGACATGTCCTGTAAGGAAAATATGGTTCCTCTCAAAACTATTGAGCCTTCGAAGAGAAGAACAATCAAGTTACAAACCTATTTTTTGTTGCAAAGGGGCATAAAAGAACTGAAGATGATTGGTTAAATGTTTCTTCAAGGGTGAAAGGTCTTTTGAAATGGTAAAATTAAAAAACAAAATCATAGCCTATGTGTAAACTTCAAATTTCTTTTCATGCACTACCGAGGTTGCACATCGTTCTTAAAAAAATTGACACATGAACCAAATATGCTAGCCTTTCCTTAATTCTATAACCAGACAGTGGTAGATCAAACTGAAATAGGCCATACTTGCACCAGCAGTTTGGCATTATTTACTCCAACAAGAAATAAGAAAATTATATAGATTCTGCTTTCAGATTGCATGAACCAATAGAAGCACGTTCAATAGGGTGATGATCCATTTAATCAATACTAACAAACAAGTGAATCCTCAAAGCCAGAAGTGTTATGCGTCCTCTTGCTCACACTATTGATGTAACTAAAGCTAGGAATGCTCATTGTGCTATATGGGACTATGGAAAAAGAGTTTATGGAAAAGAGTTTAGACCAAGTTCTATACGTTATTTTGATCTGATGATATTCTACAAGTGACAAATCCTGAAGTTTGGTTTGAGTTTACCATGAACTACAACCCTAAACCTCAGTGATAAAGAGCAGCTACAGCAAGAACTCAAGGTCAAGAATCCAATAGCTATTAAATTCTCACCAAGTGCAAATCCAAACAAACATGATCGAGCTAACCCCACGAAGCCACACACAAACACAAAGAACTTAGTCTCAAACTAAGAAAGACTGAAGAAATGGCCCTAAATCTACATGTCCAGTGATCCATCCATTCCAGGTCAAAAGATTCAAAATTCAGAAAGCATCCCAGAAAAACCGAAAGATGGTGAGTCAATGGTCTCCAAAACCCCAGAAATGTCAGCTACATCGAACCATCCGGCACTCCATCCGAAGCCTAAACCGCAATCAGAAAGTGAAATCGCAAAAATGCAGTAGCCTAACTCATCCCGATTCGCGCGTCGACCCCAGCTAAAGCAGTGCCCCAAACCGGCGCGAGAAAGCAAAACCCACCAAATCTGAGTAGCCAGCACAAACCCTAACCCAACCAACTCAAGCTAGCCCCCGATCCGTTTCCCGCCGCCAAAGCACCCCGCCCAATCTGACGAAAGGAAAGCAAGCAAGAGAAAAGCTGGAAGGAGGCTCCGGAAGCGGGGGAGAGGCAAGGGCGCGGGCGCGGGCGTGGCTTGCCTCGAGGAGGAAGGAGAGGGCGCCGCCGACGCGGAGGCGGCGCTCGCGGGGGAACCGCGCGAGGAAGTCGGCGACGACGTCGGTGAGCGGGCGGGCGGCGGCGGCCAGCAGCGAGAGGAGGTCGGACCGCTCGTCGGGACGCAGCGTGGGGACGGGGTAGCACGCCGACATGGTGGACGCCGTCGGCAACGTCGGGGCCGAGGTCGCGGTGGCCGTCGCCGTGGTGAGGGACGGCGGCGAGGATTTTTCTTTTTCGGCTTCGGGGTTTTTTTTTTTTGAGAATCCGCGGGGTCAGTGGGAGGAGTAGGCGGCTGGCTCGGGATGTGGATCGGACGGGCGCGGCTGTGTGGGTTTGCGTTTCTTTCACTTTCCCTTTCCTTTTCTTCAGTGTTGGATGTTGCTTACGTCTACCTACCGACGAATTTCATTTTCATTTTCGTATATCCACAACCATTACCATCGTCCACAGGTAATAATTAGGATAATTTTAATCATTTATATAAGACTGCGTGATATCAACGGATTGGGCTACTGATTTGTCTTTCTTTTCACTTTCTTTTTTCTTTTTCTTCGTTGAGCTCCACCGTACCGAGGTGGTTGTTTAGGTTTACAATTTGTTTCACATTCACCACCATCACCGGTTGTCCACAAGTAACAATAGTCTTCAGTTATTTGTATAAGATGACGTGATATTGACAGATATAGTTATTGATTTGTCTTTCTTTACACTTTTTTTTCTTTTTTTCTTGGACAGTTATCGTGGACATGCAACTCTATTAGGCCCACTTCGCTAGGGTTATCTTGATACTCACATTTACCTAACTAGCTAACGGATCTCATTTCACATCCACCACCATTATCATTGTCCACAAATAATAGTCGCGATGATTTCAATCGTTTGTATAAGATGACATGTCCTATGTAGTGCTTATAATGGCCTCTTTAGTAGAGCTAAAACGGCTATAGTTCTGTCTTCTCAATAAGATTTAAGAACAATAACCTTGCCATTGCCATCAGGAAAATAATGTCATTTGAAATGTCAAGAAAGATGGGTCAAAAAAACATCTTCATCAAGCAAGCAAAACATCGCCCTCCCGTGCGATGAACATAAGAAGATTAAGAGGTTGAATCAAGCTCAAGTTCAAGTGAGGGAGAAGATGAGAAAGAGGAAGATAATCCTCCTCCCAATGATGAAGAAGATGAGATTAATTAATTAGAGGAGTGAAGAAGATGATTGGCAAGATCTAGTCCAAGGGCATGCCCATCACAATTGAAGACATCATGTTCAACAACCAAAGAAAAACATAAATGGGCTATGGTGAGATTTAGCACTTTGTGGAGGATTGTCCAAACAAACCCAAGTTAAAGAACAATAAAAATGGAAGGAAAGGAAAAGGTGGTCAATGCCTTACAAATGTGAATGCATGGGATGACTCTTCAAGTGAGAAAGAAGCCCATCACAGGAGGTTCCACCACAAGTTATCATCAAGCTCTTCACACATATGTCTCGTGGCAAGAAAAATATAGTTGAAAGCGAAAACAATGAAGTCATAATGACTCCCCTCCTTCCTATGAAGATCTTGCTAACTTGGTCGAACAGTTTCAAGAAGCTTGCACTAAGCACCAAGCAAAAATCAAAACTTGGAACAAAAGTTAGTTAGCTCAAATAAAAGTTATGATGAACATGCAAGAAAAATTGACACATTTGCAGATTATAATGTTGAGCTAGCTAACAAACTTTTAAAAAACTAGAAGCTAGTACAAGTACCTCAAAAATCACCTAAAAAGGTTTCTCTTTGACATAATTCAAAAGAATGTCTCTACTTCTTGCATTGATTTAATTGATCTAAACTCACCATCTTGCACCAAGACTTATGCTGAGCATGCATGTTTTTGTAGATTCATGCACCGATGAACCAACCTTATATTTTTGTATATTTTTGTAGGTATATTATGATCCTTGAAGATATATGGACTATATCAGATGTGCACTACCTGACAATATGAAGGGTATTAGAGATGACAACGGGGAATTCCCTATATCGGGGGATGGCTTCCCATCCCCGTCTTTAGGGGAGGATTCCCTATCCATGGCAATGTTTGTGGGGACACTTTTTCCCCATCCCGGTCCCTCGGTGGGGAATTAACCCCACCCCCACCGAGATCTCCATCCCGTAATAAAATTATAGTTAGAAGAGGATACAACACAGGAAGCAAAGATTTCAATGCCGATTTCTCAAAAACAATTGTTGTTCTCATATCACAAAATCCAAAGGACAAGGAACATTTAGTAGTTCTCATCTGTCGAAATCCAAAGAACAGGAAACATTAGTTCTATTCTCACAAATCTAAAGAAAATATGCATCACAATGATGAAGAGCCCTATGACTATGAGACAGTGAATGAAATTTGATGCGTAGTGTTTAGCATCTTAACCACATCATCTTCTGCCCATGGTTGCACGCCCTGCCTCTTTTGGCTTTGGTGAATGGTGTGGAGCCGTGTGGGAGGTTCAAGAGTGGTAACCAGTGGATGGCGTTGCAGCTTGGGGATTAAGTTCGTGACTTCGCAAGAAGCAAGCTAGATGCCGGTGACACCATGCACACTCCATGACAGACTCCTCATCTTAACCTCTAGTGATGCGTAGTAGTGGCACTAGTGTTGCTCCAGAGCTCTGATGGGCGGCGGCTGGTGTGGACTAAAGACTTGGCCACCTAGGACTTAGGGTTAGTGGTGGTATATATAGTCGACAATAAATAATGGGCCTTTAGATGGGCCTGGAGCTCTACCCTCTGGTTCATCTCGCTCATGAGTCACGCTATAGCGGCATGAGAGCAGGGATTGAGGATGGGGATTAGGGAACCATCGTCATCCTTGGCATCCCTAATGGGGATCACATTCTTACCAAATCGATCCTCGTGGGGGATAAATTGACCACATCCTTGTCCCTTAATGGGGGAATTCTCTATGAGGAATCGAGGATCAGGGCCCATTGCCATCTCTAGGTAGCATGTGTGGATGGCGGTGAAAAGGCGACGGGTCGTCCTCTGTCTGTCAGGTGAGCAGCACACACGAAGCTAGCCGAGAGAAACCACGTGGAGCAGATCTCGAGCTCTCTCTGGGCTTAGGAGTGGACACTGGACCAGATGGTCATGACTGAGGGTGTGCCAGTCAATTTGATCCTATAATTGACAAGGAGAGAAAGTTAATCAGTAATTTAAGACGGAACATGCCGGTGTTTGTCTAGATAGTTCCAAATATACGGCCAAGCGATCAGTAAGATAAGGCTATCGACTAGAGAGTCAATATCCAGCATGTTCTTGATATAATGTAAACAAAATAAGCATATCGACAATTATTATTTACTCAGTTATATGGATCTAACTTAGCCAATGACCATGAAAACATGCAAGAGGTGTAAAGATAGCCGTGTAAGCATTCAAGTGAGAGACATACTAGCTTTTTATCGAGGACAAAAAATAAGTAAAAGCATATAAACAACCAGTACATCCTCGACAAACAGGGTTATCGACTAAAATAGTCGATTCCGATGATCTTATCGTATAACATGCGATCACTCATCCGTTGGATATAAATAAACCAACAAACGACTAGTCCCAATCTATTATACCGTTAAAAGGTCGAGTCGTCTAATACAACATTGATAGTAGGACCCTAGATCAGAGACCAGCAATCAATAGATCTATTTACATCGCAAGGAAAATCATGAAGGCATGTTATACACGTGGAAGCTTAGGCCATCGGTTAAATAGCCGATGGAAGACATAGTGGGTGGCTTGACGTCATGCTCTTCTTAATAGATAAATCTACTAACCGACAATATCTAATCTGACACACTATCAACAAGTCGAGTCGGCTGATGCAGCATTGATAGCGGAGTCATACCGGGTACTAGCGATCAATGAATCTATCTCTAATAGAACACGACTTCAAACATCCATCATGTATGATCAAGATCGAGATAAATTAGTCATCAAACAGGATCTAACGTCAAGGATTGAATTCAACTATGATAATAATTGACATATGATAGATCAAAATAATAAGATCAATAAATCATCTAAATCAGGCAATTGGTGATATTATGTTAAACAGTAATCCATTTAGCACGATATCGATAACTTTGATTAATACCAATGTTTATAAGAAATCAATCGTCTGTTATAGCCTTGTAAAGGTTGATACGAATAGATAACTAATCTATACCGTGATTTGTAAGAGATCACTCATTTGTTGCAGCCTTACAAATAATAATATAGATCGATAACTAATTTATACCGCGACTTGCAAGAGATCAGTCGTCTGTTGTATCCTCACAAGTAACAATATAAGTCATGACGGATACTCACAAACAAGTCGAAGGTCAGGTCATCCGATACAACCCTGCTTGCCCAATGAACTCGTCAAATTCTACTCTACTCCTACTCCTAAGGGGTGGCGTGAGCCGAAAAGTAAAGGTACTTGTTTGGTTGATCTATGAGAGATGTCTATTACAATAGCCGGGTTCACTATTTATACCGAGGCTTGACTACGAGTCCTGGTCGAATAAGACCGATCACAAAACTTTGGAAAAGAAAACACAATTTCCTAATCTTAAGATAACTTGAACTCCAAGCTTTCCCTTCCGTGGAGTCCGCCATGTTTTCCCTGATCCCGAACAACGTCACTCTTGCTGCTAGAGTCTTCTTGAGATGACGTTGTTGCCGAAATCCAACTGACTCTGTTCGATCGTCTTGGACCAGCCGATTCTGCTCTCTCCATGGCTTCTCTTGGCGCATTTTGAATTATGGGGACTCATGCAACGAACCAAATTCCGATGTCAATAGCATGGTACACTAACGATCATAGAGATCTACTTTGGGACCTAATGGTATGTTAAGATCTAATTGGTTAATAATTACCACGAGGAATGAAGATGTGGCAAAACTTCTCATCCCTAGGATTGGATTTTATATATCAAGCAACTTTTAGATTCTACATTAATATTTTTTCCTCAAGATGATCTTTGACTCTGCAGATAAATTGCCACATGATGTGTTGAAAGAAGTATCAAATTTCATTTTTGAAGAAATGTGGGGTTTGCTTTTAGCAAGATTTAGTATCAACAACCTTCTTGCAAACAAGGAAAATAGGACAACACATGAATCATAGAAGTTTTGTAACAACTTTGGTTTTGAACTTGAAAGTATTCCTAATCTAGAAATAGGTATGTGACAACTTAAGAGGGACGGGATAATGTTTGGGATGATCATGTGATGACATGTTCTTTGCTTTTGAGATCTAATTAGGGTCCCATTGCCTAGTGTCCAGTTTGCATGCTTAGCTCACAAGGCCTGGAGCAGCAACTTTGTTCTTGGGTTCTTGGTTAACAGAGAATCAATGTTTGTTGTGCGTCCATGGTAGTTTGCTTTTGCCTTTTTCAAACATCAAAGTGAATGTTTTGCATGCAGAAGAAATCCATCTATAACATATGTTATTGGTATCAATCTGGGCACAACGAATTGTAGGAGCTAGATGAGATTGATGTTGGCTTATGGCAATGAAGTTTGTTCCAATTGCTACACATGCGTATAATCCTAGTAAAAAAATAAAAGGAAAGTAGGACCATGTTTGGATTCATTATCTGCTAATAGTTAGGTAGCTAATAGCTCATATCTAATATTAGCTAGCTAACTATTAGCTACGTATTAGCTGGAGGGTGTTTTGATGCACAGCTAATAAAAAAAGCTACTAAAATAACTATTAGCTACTATTATTTGATTTTGTCCAACTAGTGAGGTAGTTATTATCGAGAGGTCCAGTTAACAATTAGCTAGTTATTAGCTACACCTGTTTGGATCCAAAATAGATAACTATTAGCAGATAACTATCATCTATAGGGATCCAAACGAGACCTAGGTACAGGCATACAACTGATAACAATCTTAAGTAATATCATTAGCTGTATCACCAAGAAACCACTTTATATGGAAATGTTAATTGGAATAATAAAAGATGAAATCATAAAAGGAGGAAAGAGTTGGTTCATGAATCCACTTTTGTTCACAAAGAACGATGAGAACAAACTATTTAAGCCACGCTGCAACTCTCACAAAGGGGTTGTAAACCAAATCTGTACTATTTGTTAAATCATAGTAAAAAAAGTCAAGGAGCAATTACCATGATGTTTTTACTATCATGTACTTTCTTCAAGTAAATATTCCCACACAATTCCAAGGAAATAGAAAAAGATAGAACAAAACCAGTACATTGATCCAATTTGATACAATAACATATAGCAACACAAAGACACGCACCCGATCTTGATGTTAGATTGTTCTAGTTTGTAGCACATCCATTTTTTACTCCCTCCGTCCCCTAATATAAGGCGCGATTTGACTTGATGCAATCTTCAAGAACATATATTACCTATAATTTCTCTTATAATATATAATTTGTAGGAACAAAAGTTTGATCATTAGAAAGTATTTCTAAATACAAATCTAATGTAACTGTTTATGTAATACAAACTTTTGATATCATTAGGTTAATTGTTAATCAAAGATAACAAAGTTTGAATTTTGAAATACGTGCATGCCTTATATTCGGGGACGGAGGGAGTAGCATTTTACCTAGTGATTCATTTGAATTACTTTATATACATACTTTGTGACTCATCAAACCCACACAATATCGAGAAATTCATTACCTACAATTGAGCAATTATTCAGAACCAAATTCCGTATGCATAATGTGTAGGTCATCTTACATAGTTTTGGCACCATCAGTGAGGTATCATCTTATAAATTACATGTATAGTTTCTTAAGAAATAAACTATCATTTATATCTAAAATATCAGGAGCCAATAGTCTTAACATTGTGATATGAGGGGGTGCAATTTTGTAGATGAAAGATGCTCACTCTTCATCAATTATTGGTGAACACTCATCCTATAACCTATATTCCTCTCACTGGGTTGAAGGAGAGGGGACCAAAACTTAGCAAACATGGGGAGAAGTACATGTTCCACTAAAGAAAAGAAACACTAATGGCATGGGATTCTCTTGGCGTCCCTGATCCTCATCAAATGTCACCGAATGAAGCCATATATATCAAACCCAATCCAAACCATGAATGATCCAAATCCACCCAACAAAAGCTGAGCCAACTTTAACTACGCTGACATGCGGGCCCGTCCCCATTTTCCTCGACGATCCTGCAGTTGACTCGTTAGGAACTGGCTGGCAGGAGGAGGAGGGTCCACTGGCAGCGCCACTCATTATTGATCGCGCATGAATGCATGATATCCTCTCGCGAAGGTGGCCACGTGGACCTCATCATTCCTCACCTTCGCCAGTAGTTACTCTACCAACTTCATCTCGGGACCCACTATCCTGGTCCATGCCGTCAGCGAGTTGTGTCGTATGGGGAGAGGCGGATCGGGCGGCGAGCGAAACGCGCACTCCCGCGCGCACCTCTCGAGGGTGGTGCCACCCGTCCATATGACCCACCCGGGCGGCCCCCGTTCCGCACTTCCGCTCACTGCCAAGGCATCCTCTCCATTCTCCACTGCAAACGTAAAACCCCCACCACGCCGTAGGGGCGGAGAGAGAAGAGGAGCGCGCGATCGATGTCGGGCTCCGGCGATCGTCGCGGCGGCGGGCCTCCGGGTTCCGGTGAGCACCTCCCGCCTCTCCCCCCTCCTCCTCCCTGTGCTTCGTGGGTGGACGGATCGCGCAATGCCGGATCGTTTGAGGGGACCGGGTAGGGTTTAGGGTGGATCTGTTTCGTCTCGTGCGTGCGGGCTGGTCGCGTCTGTCGCTCGATCTTGGGCGGGTTGTTTCGGAGTGACGGGGGTTTTGGGGGACGAGGGGCGAATGCTGCTTCGCGTGGGTGCGGAAAGCGGAGTCGGTGGATTTGTTTGGGCGTTCCCGTGGTTCATCCGCGCTTGCGCGGATCCTTGGTGCTGGTTGTGTAGCTTTTTTTTATCGTTTAATTTGGTTTCGTCTCCTTGGATGGATTTGGGGGTTGGCGGATTGCTCTTGAATTTTATTACGTGTTTATTTTCGGTGGGATTTAGCCATTTTTTTTGACGGAGGTAAGGATTTAGCCATTTGCTTGGGGATCGTGTGCTCCGTGCAAAGCAGATTTGGTTAGCCTTGCCCTTTCATTTTTTTTCCTTTTATTATAAGAAATCGGTGATCTACAAGTTAATAATTTGTTGATTAATTGTTAGAAACTATTGTAATATTAAATTTAAGAAATCAGCGATCTATGGGTTAATAGATCCTTGCATTTCTACAATTTCATATTATCCTAAAATAAATAAGGGATTAAAGTTCTCATCCTTGGTTGTTGGGTTTTTGGTAGTTGGTTTTTTTAATTAAAATGTTAGGTGATTTTAATTCTCTTAGTAGTTGCATGATATTTTGACGGCTCTTTTAGTTCGCTGTCCTTTTGTAATTGGTATGTACTCTTAGTTTTCATTCTGTGTGGTTGGTTTGTGACATTTTTACAATCGTTCCGATTTCTTTCCGCGAGTTTGGGTTACGTCTTGAATAGGGGTTCAAGTTATGTTGTGAATTTTATAAAGGGTTTTTCGTTGTTCTTAGTCAAGTCTGATAAGGTTACTTGCATGGTTGCTGGTAGTCAATTTTTTTTTTCATTGCTGCTGCTTGTCTTTTTAGCTTGTGTTCCACTTTGTTTCATTCTTTCATGGATCCTGATAACATACTGAATAACTGAATGATTCTTGGGAAAGTTATGTTACTGCACATTGGTTTGACATTGTCGATCTGGTAAACTCTGGCTATGTTCATTTTAACAAGTGTATGTGATTTACTTATGTCATGGCAACATGTTATCCCTACTGCAGGATTTATTTTGTATGCATTTTTGTGATTGTTATGCATACTTTGTGCCTAGTGAAATTAGCACCAGTGCCCACCAATTGTTATCTTAACGCATATTGGTCCTATAATGACTTGCATGTATCTCTTGACAATTAGATCTGCAACTAGCTTTTGGTCAGTATATTAGCTACTGATAGAACTTTGAAGTTGTGAAATTACTATGCTGAATAGGTAAAAGTATTTTATTTCTATTTTTTATAACCTAGTTCCTGCAACTCTCCGCACTGATTAATTAGCATCATTGTGTTTCGTAGTGGAGTATGACATTCTTTGCCATTACTGACAGATACTTGTTGAGATTAATTTATCTGACACCGCATAATCCTACCCTGCATACAGATGGTGGCTGGGAAACCATGGGGAAGAAGTCAAAGAAACAAGGGCAAGTAGGTGGGAGACAGTGGGCACCATGGAGTTCCACAAATGCGACACCTAACACAGCAAGGCCAGCATGGGGTGGCAATGGTTCCTCGCACCCTTCTGGAACAAGTTGGGCTCAAGCTTCAGATCGTGGTGCTGCTAACCGATGCAATCCTAGACCGCCACCACAAACACTGCGCCCTGTTGTGACTCCTCCTCTGGCAAATGGTTGGCAGTGGCAATCCAGGCCTCGCCCATCTGGTTCTGAAGTAGAGAAGGATGATGCTCCTCCATCTGGTTCTGACCCTGAGGTGGAGAATGTTGATGGCAGCAATGCATCAGATGATGATGATGATTTGAGTGATGATATCAGTGATGACTATGATTCTGATGCAAGTGAGAAAAGTTTTGAGACTCGAAAAACTAACAAGTGGTTCAAAGGGTTCTTTGAAGTCTTGAATACATTGTGTGTGGAACAGATTAATGAACAAACTAGGCAATGGCACTGCCCGGCATGCAAAAATGGACCTGGGGCAATTGACTGGTACAAAGGTCTGCAACCTTTAATGACTCATGCTAGAACAAAGGGTTCTACAAGGGTTAGGCTTCACAGAGAATTGGCTGCATTGCTGGAAGAGGAGCTCTCTCGCAGGGGAACTTCAGTGATACCAGCGGGCGAACAATTTGGGAAATGGAAAGGGCTGCGAGAAAGCACTGATCGGGAGATAGTGTGGCCACCAATGGTTATTGTTATGAACACCTTCTTGGAAAAAGATGACGATGATAAGGTGACTGATTTTTTTGTATATAATTTCATATTAGCAGTATTTTTCCCCCTGTGAAATTTTAATTACATATTTTGCATTTGGATTCCCTCTATCCCTTTTACTCATAACTTGACACTTATGCATCTTCTTAGAGCATTTGATCTGACTGTACAAAGGTGCAATATGCTCCCTAAGTGGATCAGTTACCATGAATAATGTGTTATGTTTATTTACCTAGATATTATATTCTTGTCTTGTGCATTCTGAGTTGACCACATTGATCCTCTTTATTATTTATAGCTAATTGCGTTCAATACATTGTGTGCCCACAATTTTTTTGAGCTGAGTGTGGATCATAATGCTGCTTAGATCTTATAGAAGAAGTCCTTTATAGCTCTTCAAGGGCTATACAATTAAGTTGTGTTGTATTCTGATTCCTGTTTATTCTTTGACCTAATCTAGTGGAAGGGCATGGGGAACCAAGAGCTCCTTGATTATTTCGGAGAATATGCAGCAACTAAAGCACGTCATGCCTATGGTCCCTCTGGGCACCGTGGTATGAGTGTGTTAATATTTGAAAGCTCAGCTGTGGGCTACATGGAAGCTGAACGTCTGCATAGGCACTTTGTTAATCAAAATAAAGACAGGAATGCATGGCAGCTCAACAAGGTTCGATTCGTACCTGGTGGGAAAAGGCTGCTATTTGGTTTCTTAGCGAGCAAAGAGGATATGGAGGTGTTTAATAAGCATTGCCATGGTACTGTTTCTTACAAAATTACTGCTTTCTATTCTGTGTATGCTTTTTTTTATCTGGTAAACAACATGATTTAGTGGACTTCTCCCTGAATTCTTTATGCCTTGAATTATTACTGCTTTCTATTCTGTTGTTTTCCTTTCCTTTTTACATCCTGTTTAATCTATGAACACTAAGCGGGATTTTTATGGTGGCTGGAACATAACATCAGTTTATTTCATTTAAGTTTTAAGGTACATTACTAGATGCTCTGTTTGGATTTGTTCCTTTTCAAGAGCAGTTCATATTTCTAAATCTGGATGCAGCACTTAGATTAAAGCATCTTGTTTGGAGAGCAATAACAGCAAAATCTTGCTAATATTTCACAATGGTTCCACCAACTAACTTAATCCACAGTGGAGCACAACTTAAAATGAAGCTTATTTTTAGGAAGAACGATACTCGAGCTGTAGATTTCCTTTTTTATAGGCCAATCAATTCTGGTTTAGTGCAGCTCCCTTCTTCACGGGCCTGCTTGTGAAGGCAGGATTTCTCTATGAACTTATGGAATGTGGCCTTTTGAACTAAATCATATGGCCATTAGACCGCTTCCTGATAACTTACGAATCATCGAAGCAAAATGCTTCTTTGTGTGCCATTGTTGTCTTGTTTGTGAAAATGAAAATACATCACCTCTCTTGACTGATAAACCATTGCTCATTATGAATGGGTGAAGAAATTTTGACCACAGGGACTATGACTTTTCAAACAGTACAACAGATAAATCAAAGAATTGAAATCTGTGTAAGATAATCTGCTGCTCCGCTTGATTGTTTTGCTGCAGCAGGGATTAGGCAATAGGTCATCTATTGCTGTCCATCTACCTATCTAGTCTACTCTAGCGGTATGGCAATAGGCCAACCCTGTAATGGCTTACCTCAGCCATGTCTAAGTAGTTGGGGGCTGATCTCAGCCAGGTACTAGTGTACCTTGCAGTTGGTATGCATCTACCGCTACATGTATATATATTTCAATCGAAATCAATAGAGGAGCCAGTTCAGTTGCTGCACTTGTGCTTGTGCTGTGTCTCTGCTCAACCTCTTCTACCTCCAGCCGAGTGCGTGTTGTGAGTGTGTTTGAGGTGGTGCTCACCTGTGCAGGCTGACCCGATCCCAACAATCTGTAACCTGTTTATTGAAACATGAAGCCTCCAAGTTCAACAAGTAGTGGAGTGTTTTTGAAATACATACATCAAGCTGTACTAGTTATCTTGCATCTACCAAACAGGACATCGAGCATTTTACTAACTTAACTGGAGAATTGCTAACTATATTTTTATCTTCACTGTAATTTCAGGTAAAAGCCGTCTGAAGTATGAGATGAAGTCTTACAATGAGATGGTGGTGATGCAAATGAAACAGATGAGTGAAGACAACCAACAACTGAATTACCTGAAGAACAAGGTGGTTAAGACAGAGCAGCGCTCTAAAGCAGTAGAAGAAACATTGGGTGTTATTACCCAGAAGCTACGTGAGACTATGGAAGAAAATATATTTGTCAGGAGTAAAGCAAAAGAGAAGCACTTGGAGTATGAGCAAGAGGTAATAAGGTTACCCAAGTGGTTATATTTTCTACCAATGAACATGCGAGAATCAACAATTTTCTTTTCACTAAGTCTATGCCAATGGCTTTAGTAACAAATAATAAAGAGTTTGTTGTTGCTGTGAGGGTCACACTTATGTTTTGCACTTCAATACTTCTGTGATAAGATTGGTGCTGTCATCTTTTGATTTCACCACCTGTTGTTGACCTTGTTTCCATGCTTTGCAGATGAAGTACCAGGAGGAATTTTTTCATAGTCAAATTGAGGATATTCACAAGGCCACAGAGGATAAAGAAAAGCTGTTTGAGAAGTTGCTGCAGGAGGAGCGCTCAAAGGCTAGACGCTTTGATGTAGATTCTGGAACTACCGAAGATCGTAAGCTAAGGTGTGTCATTAATTCATAGTTGGATGTTACCATGCCTTACCTGCAACTGGAACTAAAAATAATGTAAATGCTCCATCTCAATGCATGAGTTGTCAAGAACTCAGGATTGCTTTTATTTCCTGCTTCAATCATCTCATGCTGACATTGTAATTTCAAAGCACATGTCAGTTGCTGTTTCCCATTCTCAATCCATCTGTCTTGTGCAGGAAGGATCATGTACAGAAGTTCATTGATTGCCAGGTCAAGGATGTGGCAGAGTTTGAAGCTGAGCGGGATGAGCTGATCAAAGTCCACGAGGAGAAGAAGATGAAGCTGAAGAAAGAGTACATGGAGAAGGAGCTGGAGCTGGAGAAGGAGCTCGAGGCAGCCCTGACGGGCCTGATGGAGAAGCATAAGCCAGATACCTTTGAGGCCTCCAGCTCGTAAAGAGGCTTCAGCGGCTACCTTAGGTCCTGAGCAATCTCGTACATGCTCCTGCTTATCCATAAAAGAATGCCTAGACATTCTGTAGATGTTGCTAAACATGGTGTCCCTGTGGTGGCAGCGCGCGTGATATGGAGACATGACCAGCACCGTGTTATTTGGTCGTGGTGCGTGGTTCGAGCATCTGAACACTGTGCGTTTTGCCTGTGATGGCATATGGGTCAAACTACAACTGGAGTGTTATATCTAGTTTATATATCCTATATGGCCCTGTGCTTTGGTTTGAATGTTGGTGATGGTTTTGCCTTTCTTATGCCCCGGATGTTTACTGAAATTGTTTGCTCTGATCGTCAAAGTGTCTGATTCAGCTAGTTGTAGGATTGACCTGCATCCGAGGATGGTCGGTTCTACGAGTATGTTTTTTTCTTGTGTGCACTGAGTTATCTGTGTATTATGCATTCCTGGTCGGTTGTATACTTCTATGTTTTTTTTTCTTTGCGCACTGAATTTGCTTTTGCACATATGTGTTTTGTAAAAAACATGGATTTTCTCTGTCTTTTTACTAGTGAGGATTGTGGTCGCTCCTCAGCGTCGGTCTAGCCTCGTGTCCTCGTGTGTTTGTAACCAAGCTGCCAAATTAACACCACGGGAAGCCTGCTTATAAGACCAAATTATGGTTTGAAATTAATCATGCTATTTTTTACCTAAGAAAAGTTTGCTTTCGAGACGACACAAGTTATCAAAGACCAAGATGGAGTTCATGCTTCTGTGGTTCGGTCAGGTTCTCAGCAATCACTACAACACATGGACTTCAAAGAAGGAAAGGTCTTTATTTTTCCCTCATACGCGTGTTCTTCATTGTTTTCACATCTTGTAAGCAAACCAAGAATCAACTATATGATCCGTGCCAAATTGTTTTCTCTAAGTTTTGTGATTTGTCCTTCCATAGAAAAAATTATTTCTTGCATGATCGTTGGATGCAGAAAAAAAAAAAGTCTGGATCTTGGATTTTTGATTCAGTTGTAGCATCACTCGGTTGGAGGTACAAGTTCAACCTTTTCCTCTTGATCTTGCATTCTACAAGTTCAAGACAGAGTTTGCTCTAGTTGTTCTAATTAAGATAAAGGCGATATCACCCTTGAATAGATCATACTTTTTTTTTTTCCTTGTGTAGTTTTTGTGGTTTGCTTTCCTTTTGTTGTTTTTTTCATGTACCTGTCGATTTACTTGTGAGCATTGTGGTCGAAAAGCGTCGGCCGAGTCACACTGAAAGTTTGGTAACCAAGCTGCCAAATGTTTGCCTCGGGAAGCCTGGTTATAAGACCAAATTATTGTTCAAAAAGTTTTCACTGGATTTTTTTTGGCAAGAAAAGTTTGAATTCGAGACGACACAAGTTATCAAAGTAAATAAGCTTCTGTGGTTCGGTCAGGTGACAATCACTCCACCAACACATGGACTTCAAAGAATCAAAGGTCTTTTTTTTTCCCCTCATACGACTAGCAATGCGGCAGCTACTGTAGCACCACCACACGTGCGTCGCGTGCGCTCACCTCTCTAATCCGTGGCTAAGTATTTGTCTTTTATAGACTCATTTTGCCTTTTATTTGCTAGTAGATGCCTTTGTATCTACTATAATTAGTCTTCGATGACCTCAACTGACTTTGATACAAGTATACAACACACATGTCATGTAAAGATGTGACCCCATCGTACTTGATCCTATGTAGGCCTTGAGAAGATGTACAAAACGAGAAAAAGCGTGACCAAAATAAGCTAGTCTGACCTGAAGCCTTTGCTAGCGAGAGTATTATTCATGCCTTTTAGCCTTCTATATGTATTTTGGTTGGCTAATATAGACTAATTATAATAGGTAACAAGAGCATCTTCTAGTAGCAAATAAACATAAAAAAGAGTCCATAGAATATACAAACAACTTTTTTTTTAATATAAGCACCACGAGAGAGAGCGTGGTTTTATTAGAAAAAGAAATTTGAAACTGGTTTGGTAACTTTACGAGACAAAACAAATTTTCTAAGATTAGAATAGATTTTATGATTTTTTTAATTGCATACAATTTCTAGAAAAAATAAGGTGTAAAAACAGACGGTTTAAAAGTTGGAAGGTTAAAATGGTTTTATAAACTAAGGGGAAATTAAACTATCGTGAAAGTTTGATAAGGGGTATTAAATGGACTTTCCTAAACGAAGACATGTTCCCTCGTAGACAGACCGGGATTGCTTCCAGGGCAGGCTCCACCGTGGCTGGGCCCTGAATCTGGCCGTTCACGATCCAACCGAAAGAAGCCCACAAACAAAGACGGACGTCGGACACCGTGTAACCGTTCCGTCCGCATCCGACTTTCCGACGGTAGCAAATTAAACGAACGCCGGAGAAAACACAGTCGGTTTCAGCTAGCTGTTAGCAGCAGATTGGGGAAGGGAAAGAGGAGTAAGAGTCGAGGAAGGCAGCACAGCAAAAGGGGCAGGAACAGACGACGAATCTTAGTAGCAGGATAATATGTTTGTTACAATAGTTGATAACCCCCTTCCACAAGAAGATACTAGGCTATATAGTAAGACGCGCACACACGCATCTTCAGAGTGGGTTCACTTGGTCACCCAGGTCTGGCGTAGTAGCGTGGATTCACCGATCTGGGCCTTTGCGGACGGCCTGACTGTAGCCCATATGAGCCGAGCTCCTCTGTTGTCGGATGGCCGTCAGGCAACGGAGCCGAGGAGCTGGACGCTGGATCAGAGTCAGCAGGTGGGGTGCTGACATTCCCCCCCTGTGCGCGCGCCCTGTTGCTTCCACAAGCTGGCGCGAGGAAACTGCTGCTGTAGGAACTCCAGGTCCTCCCAAGTAGCCAAGGAAATAGGAAGATTAGTCCACTGAATAAGCCCTTGCTGAATGAACTTACCGTGTGGCACCTGACGATGCTGGAGAATGCGTTCAGGTATACTCCACTTAGCAGATGTTGGTGGCAGGGTTGAAGTAACCGTGTGGCGAGCACCCACCGCCTTCTTAAGTTGTGACACATGGAATACGAGATGCACCGAGGAAGAAGACGGGAGCTCAAGCCTGTATGCAACAGAGCCAACACGCTCTAGCACCTTGTAGGGCCCAAAAAATTTGAAGGCAAGCTTCTGGCTACTTATGTCAGCAACTGACGACTGCACATAAGGCTGCAATTTCAAGAACACCCAATCATTGACATGGAACTGAGGCTCAGAGCGATGACCATCTGCATAACGCTTCATGTGTTGCTTGGCGCGAAGCAAATGTTGCCGGATGACTTCAGACATCAGTGCACGGTCTTGTAACCAGCTGGCAATATCTGTGACCGGTTGCTCATCTGCAGGACTAATGCCAAAATGGGTGGGAGCATAGCCATAAAGTACTTCAAAAGGTGAGCGGCCAAGCGCCGAATGCAAACTGGTGTTATACCAAAACTCTACCAAATCTAACCACTGGTGCCACTGCGGTGGGCAAGCATGAACAAAGCAGTGCAAGAAAGTTTCGAGGCATTGGTTGACGCGCTCTGTCTGTCCATCGGATTAAGGATGGTAAGCAGTGCTCATATGTAGTTCCACCTTGGCCAATTTGAACAACTCCCGCCACAGCGCACTAGTGAAGATCTTATCACGATCTAAAACCAAGGCTGTGGGCATACCATGAAGACGATAAACTTGAGAGATAAACATCTTGGCCACTGCAGCAGTGGTGAAAGGATGGTGAAGGCTCAAAAAGTGTGCATACTTTGTGAAGAGATCCACTACCACCAAAATGCAGTTATACCCTTCAGACAACGGCAAGCCCTCGACAAAATCCAAAGACACCACCTTCCAGGCACGCTCAGGCACCGACAGTGGTTGAAGAAGACCGGGTAACTTACTGCGATCCGGTTTGGCCTGCTGGCACACTTGGCATTCAGATACAAAAGCATGAATCACAAACTTCATACCTGGCCAAGCAAAATGCTGTTTAGCACAATGGTAAGTAACTGTAATGCCACTGTGACCGCCGATTGCGCTGGAATGCATAGCATTGAGTAGATGCTTGTGTAGTTCAGTATCATTCCCAATCCACAGACGACCGTTATACCGAATGAGCCCATCTCTCAGGGTATAGTGAGGAGTACCAGTAGAATCAGCATGGATTTTGGTCAATAATTCCTGAGCCACTGGATCATGCTCATAAGATTGCAGGACCTCTAACAACCACTGTGGTTGACACACAATCAATGCATCACACTACGCTACTAGAACTCGTGACAACGCATCCACAGCACCATTGAAAGGTCCTTGTTTGGTTTTGGTAACTGAGTGATAACCTAGGTGGACTAATGTGTTTAAATGTGAGATACACAGGTGATTACTCCACAGGTACACTTGTGTGAGCAACTCATGCCATGACGGTGAAGATGGATTGGATTTGTTGCAAGGCTCACACATGTGATGAAGGAGCTCATTGCATATGAGACATGACATGGAGTCATGTGACTAAGGTGGAGAAGATCAAGACAAGACTTGGCTTGATGGACCGGTTGCAAGCGTGAAGGGCAAGTTGGAGGCTTTGGAGCGATGGACCGCGTGGTGGTGCAGCTTGAGCAAGACTTGGCACCGATGGACGAAGGCAATGGTGAAAAGTAAGTGAGGTCAAGATCGATGAACCAACAAGGTCATGTGATGATATGAAGTGGATCATGTCATTTGTGATTGGTTGGTGCATGTGTTGCATCAACAGTGTAGGTGATGGAATGGAATGCGCAAGGCAAAGGTATAACCTATAGGGTATTTCATTTAACCTGTCAAAGGTTGTGTAGAGAAGTGCATGACCGGGTTTAGGATAGATGGCCGTACTATCAAGACGGGAAAACTTGTTTGTATATCAGTCATCTAATGCCACTTGAGCGATCTAACTTTGCATATGTGTTAGGATCGAGCGGTGTTGAGAAAAGAATGCTAATTCTTTAGAAAAATGTTTATGAAAAGCTAACACACGT